TACTTTGTAAACCAACAATATCATAACACTGTAAACCCAAGATATCATAGCATGTACTTTGTAAACCAACAATATCATAACACTGTAAACCCAAGATATCATAGCATGTACTTTGTAAACCAACAATATCATAACACTGTAAACCCAAGATATCATAGCATGTACTTTGTAAACCAACAATATCATAACACTCTAAACCCAAGATATCATAGCATGTACTTTGTAAACCAACAATATCATAACACTGTAAACCCAAGATATCATAGTATGTACTTTGTAAATCAACAATATCATAACACTGTAAACCCAAGATATCATAGCATGTACTTTGTAAACCAACAATATCAGAACACTGTAAACTCAAGATATCATAGCATGTACTTTGTAAATCAACAATATCATAACACTGTAAACCCAAGATATCATAGTATGTACTTTGTAAACCAACAATATCATAACACTGTAAACCCAAGATATCATAGTATGTACTTTCAAATGGCATAGTATGTAAATTATAGTACACAAAGCATTGTAACACCAAGACAGCATGATACGTACGCTGTTGACCGATAACATCATGACGAACACAGTATAAACCCAAGACACTACAACAGGTATAGTGAAAACCATACGCAGAGCCAGTGCAAATCATCATGACATATTTAGTGTTAACCCAAGGCATGATAACAATTTAATGAAAACCCAAGGCATGATGACAAATTTCATGAAAACCCAAGGCATGATAACAAATTTAATGAAAACCCGAGGCATGATGACAAATTCAATGTATACCCAAAACATGATGACAAATTCAATGTAAACCCAAGACATGATGACAAATTCAATGTATACCCAAGGCATGATGACAAATTCAATGTATACCCAAGGCATGCTGACAAATTTAGTGTATACACAAGGCATGATGACACATTCAATGTATACCCAGGGCATAAAGACAAATTTAGTTTATACCCAAGGCATGATGACAAATTCAATGTATACCCAAGACATGATGACAAATGCAATGTATACCCAAGACATGATGACAAATTCAATGTATATCCAAGACATGATGACAAATTCAATGTATACCTCAGGCATGATGACAAATTCAATGTATACCCAAGGCATGATGACAAACTTGGTGTATACACAAGGCATGATGACAAATTCAATGTATACCCAAGGCATGATGACAAATTTAGTTTATACCCAAGGCAACAAATGTTAGAATTGTGATAACACTTTTTCAGTAAAGTACAGATTCTAGTACTTCTTTTTGTTGAGTCCCATCCGGGATTCGAACCCACGCTGAATACTAGAAACGGTACTTTACAAAGAAGTGTTATCACAAATATAACATTGGTAACATTTGGCCTCTTTCTAAATGGCATTCTGTGTTCAAAAACCCAAGGCATTATGCCAAATTCAGTGTAAACCCAAGGTATTATGCCAAATTCAGTGTAAACCAAAGGCTTTATGCCAAATTCAGTGTAAACCAAGGCATTATGCCAAATTCAGTGTAAACCCAAGGTATGATGACAAATTCAGTTTAAACCCAAGGCATTGTGCTAAATTCTGTGTATACCTAAGGTATTATGCCAAATTCTGTGTAAACCCAAGGTTTTATGCCAAATTTAGTGTAAACCTAAGGCATTATGCCAAATTCAGTGTAAACCCAGGCATTATGCCAAATTCAGTTTCAACCCAAGGCATTATGATAAATTCAGTGTAAACCAAGGCATTTTGACTAATTCAGCGTAAACCAAGGCATTATGACAAATTCAGTGTAAACCTAAGGCTATATGCCGAATTCAGTGTAAACCCAAGGTATTATGCCAAATTCAGTGTAAACCAAGGCATTATGCCAAATTCAGTGTAAACCCAAGGTATGATGACAAATTCAGTTTAAACCCAGGGCATTGTCCCAAATTCTGTGTAAACCCAAGGTATTATGCCAAATTCTGTGTAAACCCAAGGTATTATGCCAAATTTAGTGTAAACCCGAGGCATTATGCAAAATTCAGTGTAAACCAAGGCATTATGACTAATTCAGCGTAAACCAAGGCATTATGACAAATTCAGTGTAAACCTAAGGCATTATGCCGAATTCAGTGTAAACCCAAGGTATTATGCCGAATTCAGTTTCAACCCAAGGCATTATGATAAATTCAGTGTAAACCCAAGGCATTATGACAAATTCAGTGTAAACCCAAGGTATAATGCCAAATTCAGTTTCAACCCAAGGCATAATGCCAAATTCAGTGTAAACCCAAGGCATTATGCCAAATTCAGTGTAAACCAAGGCATTATTCCAAATTTAGTGTAAACCCAAGGTATGATGACAAATTCAGTTTAAACCCAGGGCATTGTGCCAAATTCTGTGAATACCCCAGGCATTATGCCAAATTTAGTGTAAACCCAAGGCATTAGGCCAAATTCAGTGTAAACCCAGGCATTATGCCAAATCCAGTGTAAACCAAGGCATTATGCCAAATCCATTGAAACCAAGGCATTATGACAAATTCAGTGTAAACCAAGGCATTATGACTAAATCAGCGTAAACCAAGGCATTATGACAAATTCAGTGTAAACCCAAGGCATTATGCCGAATTCAGTGTAAACCCAAGGCATTATGCCGAATTCAGTGTAAACCAAGGTATAATGCCAAATTCAGTGTTAACCCAAGGCATTATGCCAAATTCAGTGTAAACCCAGGCAATATGCCAAATTCATTGTAAACCAAGGCAATATGCCAAATTCAGTGTAAACCAAGGCATTATGCCAAATTCAGTGAAAACCTAAGGTATTATGCCAAATTCAGTGTAAACCCAAGGCATTATGCCAAATTCAGTGTAAACCAAGGCATTATGCCAAATTCAGTGAAAACCTAAGGTATTATGCCAAATTCAGTGTAAACCCAAGGCATTATGCCAAATTCAGTGTAAACCCAAGGTATAATGCCAAATTCAGTTTCAACCCAAGGCATTATGATAAATTCAGTGTAAACCCAAGGCATTATGACAAATTCAGTGTAAACCCAAGGTATAATGCCAAATTCAGTTTCAACCCAAGGCATTATGACAAATTCAGTGTAAACCCAAGGCATTATGAAAAATTCAGTGTAAACCCAAGGCATCATATAAAGTATGGTGATATAAACTCATAACCCCTTTGATTAAGATCATAATTCCATCCTCTCACTACTAACGTTCATGTTGTAGCCTGAAAAAGAATGGGATCCTGATAATGTGTCACTAATCTCTTGTTGTAACATTGTAATACCCGAGATCACATACTTGTGTTGTATTCTTATCAGATCAAATATCTCATTATATCTTCAGTTGTGTTTCTTAACTTGTATGTTATACAATGCCTTGACTGTCAGTCTAGAAGAGACAATACGAATACGAGTCAAGGACTCCACAGCATACGCCAACCGAGAACCGTATGGCATCTAAAAAGTAAGAGATACTTCGCGACATTTGAACAGTGTTACCCGAAACTGCAATTTGCACAATGTAATCCGCTTAAAATTGACAGACTCATGCTGAACCATCAAGCGTTACACAACTGGACCCTTACACGTGAATGCGCGTTATGATGATATTGTGCCATAAGCAGCTTGTAGCAGCTCTGCACATGAGTTCAACGTTATTAGGCATCCTGGCTGTGTGCTACAGGAATCCATTTCAACAAGGAGTGGTATGGATTGACAGCGTGAATATTAATATACAATTCGGTGCCTGATCGCTTATTGTATTACATCATGCAAAGCACTATCCGCTGTAAAGTGCAATCATATGTTATATATCAATGAAAAATGTTCCCATGATAACAACCGCCTCCGTGGTCTAGTGGTAGAGCGTCTGCCCGGAGAGCGGAAGGTCCGGGGTTCGATCCCCGGCCGCGTCATTCCAAAAGACGTTAAAAGATGGTACTTGTTGTTACCCTGTCTGGCGCTCGGCATTAAGGGGATACAGCAAGGACTGGTCGGCTCGGAGTCAGTATACTGTGTCTGAGTGGGGTATTCATGTTAAACTTCGGCATGGTATCTCAGTGGGCTAGCACTATAAATCGGCATCAGTCCGTTCTAGTACACGCAGCCACACACACACACACACACATGCACGTCGCTATATAAGTGCAATAATCTTGGACGCGACGTTAAACCCAATTTCACCACACCTCCTATGATAACAAGAAAATCAAGTGCACAAAATGCAATGTTGTTTGATATCTTAACACCAATCCCCAGTTGGAAAATCATCATCCATACAGTTACCATATATTCATGATAATGTACATATGTAATCATGACACACAATAAAGGTCGCTAATTTAGTTTATCATTGATATAAGGTATGAGAGAATATCTAATAGGAGACACCACATACGTAATTTGACAGTCGTTGGTGTAAATCTGACTCCGGGATAAAATGTATCACCGTCTTAATGAAAAGGAAGCGTTTACACCAATCAACAATGGTAAGTAATCATGTACGTCCCATCACTCTCACTGTGAAGCGAATTGACTGGAAGGTGATGCGTGATTGTATTACCCGAAACTAATTGGAATATACTAAATGAAGATAATTGGTAATGGTATTGGCAGGGAATCTGTTGGTATTCCTCAAAGCACTCTGGCTGTAGGTATGCGAGACTGGCGCGGGTTTCGCCAGCAGAAAAGCACTGTTAACAGAGACAACGCTTGTCTTAACAACCATCAGTTATTGACGATGATCCTGTTGTCTGATGATAGTTGAACGCGAAACTAGATCAAACACGTTGATTATTTTTAGCCAGAACCGCTGTCTGTCAATGGACAGACGTGACACAGTCGGTGTTGGAGACAGGCGGCCTCTCGCCCTGCACTTGGCTCTCACTGAATTAGTGCGGCTTGCATTGCGCTGAAAGGGATAAACACCCTTTTGCTCCTAATTACCTGAATCTAATCCGGATTCCGATCAAATTAACTGTGGGAGCTCTGAACGAATTTGGGGACAGATCCCGTGAGAGCATCCCGCAAACATTCATGGTGATCTTATGCGCATTGAGCCTTGTCTCCGTGTAACGTGACTTCCGGTCCAGGCTAGCTAGCACATCTGTGCGCTAACGGAGTTGTATACCTAGCTGGTGGAGACCGTGCCAGTGACAACAGGAACGATATGATTAACCAGCACATCGACTCAACGACAGCAAAGAACGCTATGCAGAAACAAGCAAGTCAAGACAGCGAGGTAGGAGTATGGTAGATTTTGAAGAAACTTATTGCATCTAGTGTAGATTTCCAGGTGATGAAACTGAGTTACCAGCTCAGCAGAACACCTTCAGTTTCCAGGTGTGCTCGTGTCGTGAGCTACTGCTGTCAAATTGTCGTTTCGAGATGTCAACATATTGAGCGCTGTGTGTTTTGGCGTCCTTGCTTCAGGGAAATTAAATATGTCGCCATTTATTAAAATTTCCCCCATATTAAATGTCAATCATTCGTCTGACGTGTCAAGTGGCAGCTGAATGACTCGACGTCAACACCTACAGAAAGCGGTTAGAGGAACAAACACTCCACATTCGCGGTATATTGACCAGTCACACACATCCTTCGATGCAACAGTGAGAACGTTGGATGATTCTTTTTTTCATTTCCTTGTGTAACAGTTCATTCTCTCCAGAACTAACTCCTTACCAGATCTTTAGACACACACACTGTACGTCGGATAACATGGCATATTTACATATCTAATGTTTAACATCAGAAATAAACGAAGAATGTGCTTAATAAATATATCAGGTTTATTGAAACGGTCAAACAGAACATATGGACTAAAACTGTTAATATTGATATCATAATAATATGAGTAATGTGTTAAGGTGAAAATATATGTTGTTCAAAGTATAACGAACCAACATATTATAAGTTGCATAAATTGATTCAGCAAACCATACAAGCGTTATTAATTAAATAGAGAATTAAGTATATTCCTTTATGAAGATAAAATGTCCAAATGCACGAAACTATCATGACCTCGTCAATTCTAGGCAGTGTGTATGATGTTGTGTCCGTCTGGAAGGTATAATCCTAAATGTGCAATTAACAACATTATCACACAAAATATTTAGCAGAGAAATGATCATAATAGTCATGATCATAATAGTCAACAATAACCAGTACCACAAGTTTCAGCTGCCTGTCGACGTATGAGTATGCTTAACTGCCCGATGATGTGTAGTAAATTCGATTAAAATGTTGTACATGTCTGACTATAGGGATACGATTACTTGAGTGGTTGTGTATAACTGTGGTGTTTGTGTATGACTCGATGCGTTCCTACCGGCTGTTTGAGTTATCACAGAGCTCTGCTTGGCAAATTAGATGTTTTGAATAATGAACGACGGTGCCATCTGTTTGGCAATCAAGGCCAACAATATGTGCATTTAAGATGTATTGATCTCGGTATTTACAATAAGTCCTCGATAGGGAAATATAAATCGATTTCTAATTCAAGAAACTTTTCAATTCTAGTTCTCAACACGGTCGATTGTAAACAAAGGTTTTTATGTGTACTAACCACTAAAGTTAGTCAAAGTTGCAACCAGTGTATTGATCATGAAGAGGCTGTGATGAATATCAAGCATCAAACATGCAGAAACTATGGTGACTAGGTCAACGAAATACACTAAATAATATGATATATTTTAAAATAACATTGCAGTTCAATATGATGCAAAACGCTACAGTTAAAGGTAATGACACACGACTGCAATGTGAATGTGTATGGTTTTAAGGCGCTTTTAGCAATTTTCCAAAATTAGCATGGCGAGGGGTACCTGAGGAGGAAGTCGAACCCGGGCTTTTGGCGTGACGGGCGAACGCTTTAACCACTGGGCTCCACATCGCCCTAAAACAATGTACTTAATCCAGAGTAGGGCCGCAGTTTTGAATCAAGTATTACATTGTAAATCGAGATGTATTGCATACTTTTGCAATATTATATGGCAATATCCACGTTGAGAAACCAAGGAATAGTGGTAGTTAAATATTTGGAGAGGTGACAGAACGCATTCTATTTATTTATCAACTTTCTACATATTCTGATCATTGTGATTAAGAATGACTGATACTCTTATCACTGGTGCAGTAGGGTTATACGGATAAAATAGGTTATTCGTCTCGTCATGCCATGATCAGGGTTTTCAGATTTGCTTTTTCTTCACAAAGAATGCAGTTTTGTATCATACGTTGCATGTGTTTTCGAGTGGCTTATTGAACAAATAATTTCACGTTGAAACCTCTCCTTCAAGGAAGAAGTTCGACCTAACTGGCATCCCCAGCCAACTGATTCTAGTCCTCCAAAAAACTCTTTGCATGTCTTCAAGTTAATATTTATGATGCATATCAGTATAGTATTTAGTGGTTAGCCTAATAACAATGTCTCAGTTTTAAACACTGCAATACGTAGTGTCTGGAACTAGGTAGGACATAGGCAGAGGTCTTGGAGCAAAGTCTCCCTTCAATTTGCCGTCTTGCAGTCATGCAACAATCCCAGGGTAGAAGGTTGTATCTGTGTATATTTCAGCCGCCAGCTTGTCGCCGGGAGCTCGGTGGGGTCCTTTGCTTCTGAGCGGATGGGACTCACAATGCCGACCTGGCATAAAGTGCCCTAGTATTGTATGTCATTACATGGACGTTTGTCGTGGAAATAGCATTGTCATAATCAAATCGATTATTGAAGGTAGCAAGGACAATATTTATTTCTCAGAAATGAGAAATAGATTATTGAAATATAATATCGTATGACAGTACGTGACGTCACCAACTGCAGCCTTTAGCAACGTTTAGAGACATAGTAAATATATGAGAGTGAACAAGTGAGTGGGGTTTTATGTTTATTTAAGTTTTTTTAATTAATGTTTTGTAATGTAAATAAGCGAACACCTAAAATTAGCAAGTGAATATGGTTTTACACCGCTATTAGCAATATTCCAGAAATATCACGGCGGGGGACACAAGAAAAGCTTTTATCACTATGCTACCACACCGCCCCTCCAAGAATGAGCTTTTCACCTTGTATTAAGGTCAGGCGGTGAGGTGAAATGGGGTTTCCTGTCACGTACACTATTATTGCAGGTATAACGCGTATGCAACCTTTGACCTCATTTGTCTGACGCCACAGGTGTTCGAACCCCAACGTCCCTCTTCCCGGGCAGACGCGCTATCCACAACACCATCGCGTCCCTTGTATGGTGGAAGTAACAAAGGCGTAGACACGTTTACTCAATGCATATGGAAGGTGCAATGTCGAACCCTTTCTACATGTTTACTGCCTGATGTTTTACGTTGCTTCGGCAATATTCCATCGGGTACGGTATGTCCAGGACCCACTTGCACAAAACGATCTTAGCGCTAAGACTATTGTAAGCCTATGTTACAGTATGGGAGTTAAGATCATCTTAGCGCTAAGATCGCTTTGTGCAAGCGGGCCCAGATGTTCGGATTCGACCCCGAGTAGTCCTCCAGGCTCTATCACCCTCATTGCAGCAAAGAGCATTGTTGAAATAACGGTATATTTCCGAACTGACATTTCGAACAGCTGATAAATGTTTTAGACTGAAATTTAATTTGTTCTTTGCGTCATTCTTTTAGGGAAAACGTTAGATGTTAGGTAAATATATAACGTCAACGCGAGCGAACAATCAGTCTTGAATATCTACCGAAACAGATTCCCTAGAGTGTAAAGGGCAAAACAGCGTTGACATCAAATGGATCACTGAAATCAATGATGATAACCGGTTTGCGCGAAAAGATATATGTATAAAATAGGTCATGTGTTACCGGTAGCACCCGCCACACTCAATTTGCATCCAAATGTAAGTGTTTGCTTGCATGGCATTTCGCGAACACCTGGTGTCATCACTATTTGATGGCGAGATTCAAAAACACAATGGGGGGCGGTCGGGTAGCCTAGTGGTTAAAGCGTTCGCTCGTCACGCCGAAGACCCGGGTTCGATTCCCGACATGGGTACTATGTGTGAAGCCCATTTCTGGTGTCCCCCGCCGTGATATTGCTGGAATATTGCTAAAAGCGGCGTAAAACCGTATCACTCACTCACTCATTCATAAACACAATGGACTCTGCTTTTCAAACAGATTTCTTATGATTATGAAAATCATGTTTGTCACTTATATTTACATTCAAATTGTGACACGACATTTGTAAGACAGTATCAACGAAATACTAACACTGATTCATCTGACAGGGAGTTGTTTTTTAATCTATTTTTATGCACCATAATATGCATTCAAACTTGCTTTTGATGCAAATTGAATTATAATTCAAAGGAAGTGTCAACAAAACACTGGTAATGATTCCTCTAAGAGGGACTTGTTTTTTAGATATTTTTGTTTCCTTGCATCAATGTTCTTTTCTGCCGAGCCTTGTAATCTCTTTAAATTTACTTCAATGCACGACCTCGTCACAATTTCAATCTCTCTGCCTCCTTATAGCTCTGGCTGGCGTTTGTGTTCCGGTCATACAACTGTGTGATACGTCTAATTTGGACTTCTCAAAGCTACGGCAGCCTCCACGAAAATGTCCTTGTCTTAAGGTATAACTGATCTCCATTCACGATGTCTTCCGTCGTGCTCTTAAATCGATAGTCTAATGACTTTTATTTTTACAACACGTAATGACCACAGTGGCTTCCAGGGAAGAGGAATTTACAAACAAATATCACAAGCAAAAAGAGTGACGCTAATGAATCCAAGGCCCACATGTAACATCATTAGCTATTAGCTAAATCGCCAGGCAGCTGGATCGCCATTTCCATGGAAACGGAATGTTTTTGAGTTAAATATACCTTGACGTCTTTAAAACCTTGAAGAGGAAGGAAGCGTGAGCCGTGCGCAGTGCACGGAGGTGGTGACACGAGGGACTCAACACCAACATGTGGACTTGCTGACGTTGCGGCTTATACGCTAGGGATCGAGACAGTTGCTCGCGGTTAGCAGTAAATGGTATTATATCACTACAGGGATATTATCTGGCAATTAATGGAGAATAGGGACGAGGTGATCACTCAGATGCACTTGCACTGAATCAATGAGACTGGACGTACAGTGAAAGTCTGTGTAATGGACATATACACTGTATAGTTATGACAAGAGACTTGAAGTATTTTTATTTTTAAATATAATGAAAAGGTTTGGTGTAGAAGTGTTTAATCCAAGCATTTGGAGCGTACG